TCTACCAATTCGTTAATCTCCAAATCTTTTTTAATAATTTCGCTTATAGTTTTTCTAGGTCTTCCTTTACCTCTTGTTTATTGACTCCTTTCTGCATGATCCACTCTCCTTACAACAGAATCTAGATGTCTTCTCTATTTCGTTAATCTCGAAATCTTTCTTAATAGTTTTTCTAGTTACCTCTTGTTTATTGACTCATCTTCGCATGATCTACTCTTCTTACAACATAATCTAGATGTCTTTTCTCTATTTCGTTAATCTCAAAATCTTTCTTAATAGTTTGTGTTATAACTTTTCTAGGTCTTCCTCCACCTCTTGCTTATTGACTCCTCTCCATATGATCTATTCTCCTTACAACAGAACCTACAAGTCTTCTCTCCAATTTGTTAATCTCAAGAATTTTCTTAATAGTTTCTTTTGTAATTTTTCTAGGTCTTCTTCAACCTCTAGTTGTTTGACTCTTCTCCATCTGATCTACTCTCCTTACAAACAACAGAATCTATAGGTCTTCTCTCCAATTCGTTAGTCTCAAGATTTTTCTTAATAGTTTCTCTTGTAATTTTTCTAGGTCTTCTCCAACCTCTAGTTGTTTGACTCTTTTTCTACATATCCAAACTATCTAAGCCTATTTTTTACCATTTTTCTACTTTGTCCTACACCAACACTCTCTAATATTGTCATTTCTAATAAGACATAAATCACTAAAAAAATATGCTGTAAAATTTCGTGAATCGATTCAATTCCCAGAAAAAAAATAAGGGCTATAGGACATCAACTGTTATGAAAGGTATAACTGTTATTAAAGGTATAATAGCCAGTGTTTTCAAATAGCGGTGATAGAGGCACTATAGCATAGTAGAATTTTAAGAAATCACTTTTGTTCTGCAATATTTGATTGGTGCAATGCGTGATTAGATATAAAGTATTGTCAAATATAGCACTGTTGCGTGATGATTTGAACAAATTTTCTGGGATCCGTGATTGACAACACTGATAATAGTGAAAAATTATTAGCTCATAGTCCCGGTTCATTCAATTATAAAGTTTGAAAACTGCAAGTCTATGTTAATCAGCTGGTATCAAACAAAAAAATAGCATCAAAATTGAGAAAGTAGTAAGGAATTTTTACCTGAACTTCAAGCTCTATGACAGCAAGTTCACTTTTAAATTTTACCAATGCATCCTCCTTTATATACAACTGCAGAGAAAGAGTCGAGATTAAAGTTTACTGCAATGACCTTTTACTTTTATACATCTTCGTTATATTCGAACTATACGGTCTCAAATTAGAAAAATATTTCCCTTTTAAATATTTCAGCATATAATCAGAAATCAGCATGACTTATGAGCTCAGTAAAAAAACCATCCCCATCACGTTTTCCTGTTGACGTCATACTTAGTAAGATACTGCATCCAGATTGCATTGGCTAAACCCAGCCAAAGGCTAGTATCGGCATCCAACACATCTTCTCCCTATAGGTATATCTTTAGTTTTGCTCTAATAAGATTCACAATATCTTCATACGAGATTGATATCCAACTCTGACCATTTAGTAAGATATAGCATAAACTTCCCAAACAAGAATATCAAAAAGAAAACTGCAACTAGATTTCAATTTAAAGGTAATGCAAAAGATCTCAGGTACACACACATACACACCTGTCTTTTTAGGAACCGATTTTGTTGGTTGGCTTCACTAAGCTTCTTAGTGAGGTTTGCTCTTTGAGTATCAGCAAGCAATACCTTTATCTGCTCAATACAATTTGAAACTGAAGATCTAAGTAAGATAAGTTTATTGAAGTTGCATGCACACTTAAAAGGTATCACCAATAGGCGTGAGCCAAAAAATATAATTAAAATGTGAGATGCTTTTAGCCCCATAAATTATTCTCATTGTACTGCCCTAAACATGGAAGCTCGCCATATCAAATTCAGTCTTAGAACTGCATAACTTACAGAATATTGATATTGATTATATATAAACTTGCCTTTGTTATGAGTTATGAGTCACATATTCAAGAAGCCCTTAAATTCAGTGTTTAGTTTTTGGAACTTGGCTAAATCATTCCTTCTGGTTGATTTTTCTTATTTTAGAAATCGTAGAAAAACTAATCTGAATATTAATAACTGTGTAAGGAATACAAGCACTAATCTAAATATATAGACAAACTCTAAGTAATTAGCCTGATTAATGGGCCTATACAAAAAATCTTATAAGTATATATTTACAACAGAAAATAATAAACCTACAGACAACAAATATGAGAAGCACTGATGATAAGTGATTTTTCACATTTTAAGATTTTTTTATAGTTCGCAAGGTAATGCATGAAAGGTATTCTATAATTTCAAAACAACAGCTCCGTCTGTCTTTCAAATAAATGTTAAGGAATACCTGTTCACTGGTAAGTGATTGTGACACATTCTCGTCTTCTGAGTCTGTAGATGGATCCATATCCTCGTTAGGATTATTTCCTTGTAATGATTCAGATTCCTCTAAACGAGTCGCCATAGAATGAGTTCTACAGAAAAATGGCCTTCTTGGATACACTGCGGTAAACGTTTGGCAGGAAGAGGCTAATATGTGAAAGTCCCATCTTGAATTCAGGGACACTACATTGCACAGAAGTTTATGAGTATTTTCCCTTCCTTTTGTTCTCAAAATGTTGGAGAAGAATATCCCTTGTGCTTCTAAATGATGACACCTATTTAAATTATGAAAGAATCGTGACCAAGAATTTACCAAAAAGAATTCAAACTTTAAACTTTCAAGCCTGTTTACGCACACTATTATATTTTCAGTGTAAGGTTACCTTGCAATATTGATTTCCATCATGGAGAGGTTTTACTTCACCAGTCAAAGATATGAGAAAAGGGAATTTTAGGACCTAACCAAGCAAATATGTTGAAATTTACAACAGTAAACACTGGAAAACCAAAATGTAAGAATTTAGGATCACTGACTTCAACGAAACACCAAAAGTTAGAATAAAGAATGACTTTGTTAGATATCGGAATATTCCATATTATGTAAATAGAATATTCTGTAAGTAATTAGGATATCATGTAAATAAGAAATAGAATATTATGTAATTATTATAGAATATTATGTAATTACTATGGCATTTATGCCTCCTATTATACATAATGAGCTCCAATGTGTAATTCAAACACACGGATTCAATCCAACCTTCCTCTTGTTCTCTCATTATTCAACAGACTTAAAGATGACAGGTTTTAGCTTCCAAGTTGTAGGGATGAAAATCTTTATATCCTAATTCACAACTATTGTATAAAATAACGGGATACCGTGTTCCTTAATCCACTGCCTAGTGCACAACAATCACACTCAAACTGCCAACAAAGACAATAAAAAGAGAGCTATAAAAATGAACAAACCACCTAAGACAGAATTCCATTCTACCATCTTATCTAGGATATGAATATTTCCAATTTGTAATCTTATCTTTTTAATTGTGTGACCCTCATCAGTCTAAATATTCTCATAGATGAAACCCTAAGTTTGTTGAGAGTCTCACATATGAAATATAGCATAAAAATATGTTTATAAGTAGGATGCACCATTCATCTTACTTTACAAGCCGGTTAACTTAGGTACAACCTCAAACCTAAAAAATTTACTTTTTTGCTAGCTCTTCTCCACCCTAAATTCAATCCCCAACAGCAAGACTCACTCTAACACTCTTTTTTACATTCAATATCTTATTGAATGAAACTCATCTGGGTCCCACCATATTAAAAATAGGCCCTACATAAAGCGGTAAGACCCTCATGATTTTCATCCAATAAGAGTGAATGTTAGAAAGAAAGTGTTAAAAGTGAGTGTTGCTAGACACTACTCTTGTAGATTTTATGATTGTGTGATAAAATTTCCCTTTAACCTTTAAGCTTTAGTAGTACTACTTTTATATCACAAATCACCCCCAAAAACATTCACTCATTCCATCTACACTGCTTGGGTCATATCATATGATTCATCTACACCCAATGCTACTTTTTTTCCCCTCAATCAGCAATTTAAAAAAAATAAAAACCCCAACTCAGTAAAATATTATCCAGCACAACAATATTCATTATGAGAAAAAAGCAACAAAGTCATATCTCACATAATTTAAACTCAAAACAAGTTTTCATAGTCACACAGCACAAACATCAAACACGACACAGGCACAGAATCGAAAACATTATGTTTTCAATTCTTACAATAGAAAAATGTAATAGTGAAAGTTAAGAGTGATAAAAGGCAATTGTGGTTAGAGAAAGAAGGTGCGATGCAAAAAACTTACAGAGAGTAGGAAGGAAGAATAGCAATAGCAGAGGAGAGAGTTAATATGAGTAGTCTTGGAAGTTGTTGTGATAGAGTTAAAGAGACATCGTTAGCTTTTTTGTGAACGGTGCTTACCGAAGTGAGGGACACTACACTGTTATTTCATGAATTGGCACGTGGGTATCATTGGACCTGATGAGGTTTAGATTTCTTCTAATCTTCAACTAGCACAACCGTGCCTCCTTACAATAAATTCATTTTTATTTTATATCATTTCACAAAGCTGAATTGTTGTTTATATATATATTATTATTATAAAATCACTAATAATTATTAAAAATATTTAAAAATAAATATATAACAAATCATGGATAAATTCAATATATTTAATAATTATAAATTTATATAATATAATAATATAAGATGAATATTTTGATAAGTTTGTTATTTGATACTCACTCATGCATTTTTATATTTTTACTTATGTTATAAAAGAAAATTTTCTTTTAATATATTTTATTTTATTTTAATATATTTTTATTTATGCTATAAAAGAAAACTTTATTTTAAGTTTTTTTAAAAAAACCCATATGACATTTGAGAATGAAAATAAAATTATATTCTCAGTGCATAACATTAAACCTTACTTTTTAATTGATTGTTTTTTACAGAAAAAAATGCAGTTGTAACTGCTTTACCAATTCCTTCCCTTCTCGAAAAGGAAACTGTTTTAATTACTATTATTTTCTCACCTAAGAAATTGTTCCAATTCTCCTTGATTAATTTTTTATTTATTTTCATGACTAATTTATTTTTTGAAAGAGAAAATTTATATTCTTCCTATAAATATAATGAAAATAAATATAATGGAAGGTTGGTTAGGGTTATGAGTGATATTTATGAGTTTGGTTGAAGGAAATACACAACTGGATTTATGGGTTTATGATACTTTTCTACATGGCTGGATTTATGGGTTTGCATTCTTTTTCTTCGTTGTTATTAATCTTGTTTTGCGGTCTTTTTCTACTTCGATTTTGACTTCTTCCTCGCAAACTTAATCATCTCTGTTGCAAGGTTTGTGATGTTAGATATGTACTTTTGTTTTCATGTTCTGTTTATATTAATTGGTATTTTGTTTGTGTATATTTTAGGGTTCCTTCCTCTTTCTGTTTAAAGGTACACAAGAAGCCAGGTCCACAACTATGGGATAAGGTAAGTTAAATCGATTTTGATTGCTTTTACTTTCAAGTTTAAACTATGAAAATTTGTTTGTTAATTGTTTTGTTTGAAGCTTGCAGGTTGTTGGGCCAATATTATGACTTTATTGTTGTTAAAAACAGTGAGGAAGCATGTATGTTGTTATTGATGTTAGCGGGAAGCAAGTATGTTGTTATTGCTGCAATGTATAAAGTCTGTTGGCTGGAACAATATGGGGAAAGTTGAAAATGCAATAAGTGATTGCTTCTATGAACACAAGTCCATAATGTTGAAAATGTTGTTGGTTTTTCATCTATTAGTTTTTGTGTTGTCTGATGCTGCAGAAATTTTGTGCAGATGTGGTTTTAGAGCGCCTGAAACATGGTATGCAGTGGTTGCGAGAAGTTATAACTCAAGGTATGGAATAGATGCCATGACAAGGCATTGAATAGCTGATGAAGCAACAATAAAGGATATAATTTCTGAGGTCGATACAGATAATGTAAGTTAGTCCTAATTTAATTAGAGTAGCTCAGTTATGGATTGTAGGTATTGTCGCTAATGGTTCTTACACTAACAGAATGGGAGAATAAACTATGAGAATATATAGTCTTATGTGCAATGATGAGAAGTGGAATGATTTTGGTGCATGATTTAAGCTTGTTTTTAAGTTTTGTATTTTAAGTTGATTCTTTGGTTTTTATCTTTTGTTCTTTGTTCGACATGACTTTGAACAGACAATAATGGTTAACATCACTAGTTCACCAACTGGGTTTGATTAGTGTTAGTTAGTTCCAAAAAAATGCAATATTTGTTAAATAAATGCCAATTTCTATTGAATTTCCACCTTGACTAATTGTATTTGGCTCAGTTGCAAAAGTGAACAAATAGTACTACTTAATTTATCATTCTTTACGTAGGAGTTAGAGAAAAATGTGAAAGTGCTAAAAAATGCAGGTACCAGCGAAGGAGATTCTTTTTGCACTGTGTTTCATTGAGAAAGCAAAAGTTGATCCTTCTGATTTTCTTGACACCCTTGGAGAAAAGGAATCCCCGGGAGAACCTGCATGCTAATTTTTACTGCAAAGGTTAACATATTTCTATTATTTCGTATGATTCTGATTTAAACTATCGATATCAGTATATACTTACAATAATTTTATGCTGAATTTTGGAAAAAATTAGACGGTGGTCGGTATTTTCCTCTCACAGTTGTTCAGAGATTTGATGCTTCTGTAAGTATCATATGATACTAAATAATTTTCATTCTTGATAGTCCATTTAGTGTGATTTGTCTAAGTTAAAATGTTATATTGATGATGTAGTTGTTTAGTTATTGGCTTGCATTTTTGGTAAAACCAGGTGTGTGTATGAATGTCATGACTGATGTCATAACATTCTAGTTTAGTTTGTACTGATTCATTAGGTACCTTTGCAGAAAAATATTGTCATACAGGTGCTGTTGTTTATAAGTGTGTATCTGAGCATTTTGCAAAAAGATCACATTTACCTAAATCAGTAGACAGGTTCTCAGATGTCATAACAAATGTTAAGACATCCTGTTCTGAACTAACAGTTATGCAGTTTGGGTAATTCTGAGTTTTTTCAGGATTATGACTCAGTCTTTCCAGAACAGAAAATGTCGTGGACTTAGGGTTAACCTAGCTCAACCCTAACCTGGTTGATAAAGTCATGTGACCTAGTCTTAAGGTCAAACGGAATTAACCCTAGCTTTTTGTGGAAACCCTAACTAAAGGTGCAGCTGCTATATATTCAACAGGGCTGCTGTTTTGAATGCATCCCTTTTTGACAGAAGATCTTTTAGAAGCTGTATAGTTTTAACTATTGTAATCCAAGCAATTATCATTGTGATAAGTGACTTGGAATAGGTTTTAATTGTAAGGGTTGTGTATCACTCAAAGCTTTGAAGCAAGAGTGTTTGTATGTCTCTTGACTAAAGCTGTGAAGCAAAGTCAAGTTAGGTCTGTGTATCACTCAAAGCTGTGAAGCAAGAGTGTTTGTGTTGCTTGATTAAAAAGCTGTGAAGCATAATCAAGTGTATGTTTTGAAGAGTGTCTTCATCAATTCATTAGTCAAATTGTTTTATGTATCACTGTTGTGATTGAGGGGGAGTGAGTAGGAACTCAGGTTTAAGTTGTACTTAGATTGAAGTTGCATTGGGTGGGTCTTAAGTGAAGGAGATAAACTGGTTGGTTTATTCCTGAATTAATATCTCTTATAGTTGATTTCCTCCTTGGCTTGGTAGCCCCCAGAGTAGGTGTTGTTGCACACTGAACTGGGTAAACAATTGACTGTGTTCTTTACTGTTTTTGTATTTACTGTCTTATAGA